CCCATATTTAATGACAACATGGACAAATGCCTCAAGGTCTTGTTTCATGTGAGTCAAATAACATATTGGATTGTATACATGTGCAATTCAGTTTGTTCAAATTCATTTTTCAGATAAAAATTTAATTTTTGGAGATTCCAATGTATCCAAATTCCTGAATGAACTTAGGAATGAATCGCAACAAACAAATCCGAAAATTTTTTTCGAACAAATCCGGAGTGACATGTCCCGTGGAGAGACACTCGCACAAATCACACAATGACCCCCTCATGTTAACAACATATGGCTTGGTATGGTCCAGGAGAAGGGGAAGGTGCTCACTTGCCCCCACCTTTTATAGCTGTTTGCTTGGATAAAGGTCTGGTACAGACTTTGGGGGGGACCCCTTGGCATTTTTTTTTTATTAATTTGGCTTGGGGTTCCCCTTAAAATTCATACCTGACCTAAGAGTCTGGTATAGATTTTGTGGGGAACCCCACACCTTTTTTTAAAAACATTTTGGCATGGGGTTCTCCTCAAAGTCCATACTAGACCAAAAGGGCCCTCATGCTTTTTTTTTTTTAAATTCTTTTTTAACCACATTCGCACTGCCCTATAGCAGAAATGCTGCTACAGGGCGGCAGGGCTGCGCAAAATCATATGTGTATATATATATATATATATATATATATATATTATATGTGTGTGATTTAGCATTTTCAGGTAGGGGTGTGCGCATCCTATCCATGCCAACATTGGCGGCCTCAGCTGTTGATCACCAGGTCCCGGCTGGTTATTCTCCACCCACACCCGGTGATCGCCGAGTATCACTGATGGGGAAGAGACCTGTATGTAAACAATACAGATCTCTCCCCTGTCAGCTCCTGCACATTGCTATGTATTGCTGTGATAGCAGAGCAATACAAAGCATTGTGCTAACTCAGTGAAACACCCACAGCACACAGTAAAACAGCACACAGTTAACCCTTTGATCACCCTGGATGTTAACCTCTTTCTGCCCAGTGCCATTCGTTTTTGATTTTATTTTTTTATTTTTTTTTTACTGGACATGTTTAATAGCAAAAAGTAAAAAATATAGTTTTTTTCTCAAAATTGTCAGTCTTTATTTGTTTATAGCATAAAAAATAAAAACACAGAGGCGATCAAATACCACCAAAGAAAGTCCCATTTGTGGGAAAAAAAGGACATAAATTTCATTGGGTGCAGTATTGCATTGTTAGTTAAAGTAACGCAGCTCCGTATTGCGAAAAATGTCCTGGTCAGGAAGGGGGGTAAATCTTCTGGAGGATTCCAGCACTTTTGGGGACAGACTAAAACATTTAGTGTGAGAATGGCTTAATGTAGCTTAACGTGTAATAAACTGCCTAAATCTCGATCAACTGACTTGACTTGAAACATAGCCCAAGTTGTCAAGATCCCAAAGATGTCTAGAAGTTTCATAGATTTTGGCCTGCCACAAAGAAAATGGGGGGCGTTAAGCTTGTTTTGTGGGGAGCTTAATGTGGGTTAACGTACAAAAAAGAGCTTAGACATTTACCAATTTCACCCAAACTTCACACAATAGAAGACTCTATCTATGGCAACATACAGTCAGGTCCATAAATATTGGGACATCAACACAATTCTAACATTTTTGGCTCTATACACCACCACAATGGATTTGAAATGAAACAAACAAGATGTGCTTTAACTGCAGACTGTCAGCTTTAATCTGAGGGTATTTACATCCAAATCAGGTGAACGGTGTAGGAATTACAACAGTTTGCATACGTGCCTCCCGCTTGTTAAGGGACCAAAAGTAATGGGACAGAATAATAATCATAAATCATACTTTCACTTTTTAATACTTGGTTGCAAATCCTTTGCAGTCATTTACAGCCTGAAGTCTGAAACGCATACACATCACCAGACGCTGGGATTCATCCCTGGTGATGCTCTGCCAGGCCTCTACTGCAACTGTCTTCAGTTCCTGCTTGTTCTTGGGGCATTTTCCCTTCAGTTTTGTCTTCAGCAAGTGAAATTCATGCTCAATCGGATTCAGGTCAGGTGATTGACTTGGCCATTGCATAACATTCCACTTCTTTCCCTTAAAAAACTCTTTGGTTGCCTTTGCAGTATGCTTTGGGTCATTGTCCATCTGCACTGTGAAGCGGCGTCCAATGAGTTCTGAAGCATTTAGCTTAATATGAGCAGATAATATTGCCCAAAACACTTCAGAATTCATCCTGCTGCTTTTGTCAGCAGTCACATCAATAAATACAAGAGAACCAGTTCCATTGGCAGCCATACATGCCCACGCTATGACACTACCACCACCATGACACTACCACCACGATGCTTCACTGATGAGGTGATATGCTTAGGATCATGAGCAGTTCCTTTCCTTCTCCATACTCTTCTCTTCCCATCACTCTGGTACAAGTTGATCTTGGTCTCATCTGTCCATAGGATGTTGTTCCAGAACTGTGAAGGTTTTTTTAGATGTCGTTTGGCAAACTTTAATCTGGCCTTCCTGTTTTTGAGGCTCACCAATGGTTTCCATCTTGTGGTGAACCCTCAGTATTCACTCTGGTGAAGTCTTCTCTTGATTGTTGACTTTGACACACATACACCTACCTCCTGGAGAGTGTTCTTGATCTGGCCAACTGTTGTGAAGGGTGTTTTCTTCACCAGGGAAAGAATTCTTTGGTCATCCACCACAGTTGTTTTCCGTGGTCTCCTGGGTCTTTCAGATCATTTGGATCATTTGGTAAATCACACCAAAAGTTATTCATGTTAAAGTGATTCTAAAGGCTCGGGTATTTTTTGCATAAAAATAACAAATGTGATACTTACCTCCTTTGTTGTAGTTGGATTTGCACAAAGCAGTCAGGATCCTCCTCTCTTCTCAGGTCTCTCTTCTGTGCTCCTGGTCCCTCCCTCCTTTTCAGTGCCCCCACAGCAAGCAGCCTGCTATGGAGGCAACTGAGCTGTGTCACAGCTCCGTGTGTCCATTCAGACACAGAGCTCTGACAAAGCCCCATCCCCTCTATCCTCTGATTGGCTAGCTGACTTTGATTGACAGCAGTAGGAGCCCATGGCACCACTGCTTTGTCTCAGCCACTCAGGAATGAGAAACTCGGAAGGCTGAGAAAGTCATGGTGATCGCTGGAGAGAGAGGGAGCTAAGGTAAGTGTTAGGGGGCTCAGGGGGGCTGCTGCACACAGAAGGCTTTTTATCTTAATGCATAGAATGCATTAAGATGAAAAACCTTCTGCCTTTACAACCACTTTAAGCTATATTTTACAGTGCTAAAACATGTAATGTAAACAGCTTAATGTAAAAAGAGCTTAATGTACCATAATGTGCCTAAATCTCAATCAATTGACTTGAAACGTTGCACAGCCCAAGTGCTCAACTTCCCAAACATGTCCTAGAAGTTTTTTGGGTTTTGATCTCCCACAAAGCAAGTGAGTGACATTAAGCTTGTGTAGCCCCTACTGTAGCGTGGAACAGCCAATGGGGGAATATTATGAGTGTGTGTTTGTTGCTCACCAGCCAGTTACTGGGGTTTCTTGGCTTGTGGTGCATGCTTGGGAAGTGCATACTTCAAAGTTTCAAATACCAGTCAATATTGGCACAAAACCTTCAGGCGTCTGCCAGAAAGCTGAACATGAAGAGGAACTTCATCTTTCAGCATGACAACAACCCAAAGCATACATCCAAATCAAAGGAATGCCTTCTCCAGAAGATGATTAAAGTTTAGAATGGCCCAGCTAGAGCCCAGACCTGAATCTGATTGAAAATCTGTGGGGTAATCTGAAGAGGGCTATGCACAGGAGATGCCTTCACAATCTGACATATTTCAAGAGTTTTTGCAAAGAAGAGTGGGCAAATATTGCAAAGTCAAGATGTGCCATGCTGATAGACTCATATCCAAAAAGACTGAGTGCTGTAATAACATGAAAAGATGCTTCAAAGTATGCACACTTACGCAACCATATTATTTTAGTTTTTCTATTTACTTCTCTCCACAGAAAAGATTCCAGTACATTTTTCAACTGAGTTGTTTTTACAGTTTATAGGTCACATTAAAGGTGGAAATTTTTCTGTCTCATTTTCTTACATCACAGAAACCTGACTTTTTTAACAGTGGTATGTCAACTTTCTATATCCAATGTATATGTTCATGAGAATTGCTACGTGCTCATCCTAGTACAGTCTACCTCCAGGCCAAAATCTATGAAACTTCTAGGACATGTTTGGGATTAGAGATGAGCGAAGTATTCAAAAATTCGATTCGACTGATTCGGCGATATTCGTGGAAAAAATTTGATTCGAGTCGAATATATTCGCGGTGAATTTAACTTAAAAAAGGGTGTTTCTAGGTTTCAGAGAGACTTAATATTAGTGCAGAACACTGTACCTTTAATTTAAATGCCCTTGGAGTCTGCTGGGGAAGAGAAATAATACTGTCAGTCAGTATGACATGCAGATGAGTGCCGTCGATCTTAGAATCACCGCACACTTCACTCATTTGGCCAGTCACGGGGCCAAAACCAGTGTTTGGAGCCACAGTGTGGCGGTGGAGGCAGCAGCAATGGGAGGCCATACAGCACCCTATGACAAAAATGGAAACCAGCAGGAGTGTGAGGAGACCTGAAAGTGGCACATGGCAGAGTGGGAGCAATGGGAGGGGGTACAGGGACCCATGACACACTGTGGACCCAGCAGCAGCGTGACCAGGCGGTACGGGGGCCCATGGCAGATTTGGGGCCTGGCAGCACCTATGGGAGGCCTGTAATCTGCCAGCAACCTATGACAAAATGGAAACCAGAAGGAGTGTGAGGAGACCTGAAAGTGGCACATGGCAGAGTGGGAGCAATGGGAGGCGGGTACAGGGACCCATGACACACTGTGGACCCACAGCAGCGTGACCAGGCGGTACGGGGGCCCATGGCAGATTTGGGGCCTGGCAGCACCTATGGGAGGCCTGTAATCTGCCAGCAACCTATGACAAAATGGAAAACCATCAGGAGTGTGAGGAGGAGACCTGAAAGTGGCACATGGCAGAGTGTGGCGATGGAGACAACAGCAATGGGAGGCGGTACAGGGACCCATGACACACTGTGGAACCAGCAGCAGCGTGACGAGGTGGTACGGGGACCCAGCAGCAGCGTGACAAGGCGGTTAATGGGGGCCCATGGCAAGATTTGGGGCCTGGCAGCACCTATGGGAGGCCTGTAATCTGCCAGCAACCTATGACAAAATGGAAACCAGCAGGAGTGTGAGGAGACCTGAAAGTGGCACATGGCAGAGTGTGGCGATGGAGACAGCAGCAATGGGAGGCCGTACAGGGACCCATGACACACTGTGGACCTGGCAGCAGCGTGAGGAGGCGGTACAGGGGCCCATGGCAGATTAGGGGCCTGGCCGCAGCAATGTGAGGCACGTAATCTGCCAGCATCCTATGACAAAATGAAACACACCAGCAGTGTGAGGAGACCTGAAAGTGGCACATGGCATGACACACTGTGGACCTTGCAGCAGCGTGAGGAGGTGGTACAGGGGCCCATGGCAGATTAGGGGCCTGGCCGCAGCAATGTGAGGCCCGTAATCTGCCAGCATCCTATGACAAAATGGAACCCAGCAGCAGTGTGAGGAGACCTGAAAGTGGCACATGGCATGACACACTGTGGACCTGGCAGCAGCATGAGGAGGCGGTACGGGGGCCCATGGCAGATTAGGGGCCTGCAGCAGCAATGGGAGGCGGTACAGGGACCCATGAGACACTGTGGACCTTGCAGCAGTGTGAGGAGGCGGTACAGGGGCCCATGGCAGATTAGGGGCCTGGCAGCAGCTATGGGAGGCCCGTAATCTGCCAGCACCCTATGTCAAAAAATTGAACACACCAGCAGTGTGAGGAGACCTGAAAGTGGCACATGGCATGAGAGACTCTGGACCTGGCAGCAGCATGAGGAGGCGGTATAGGGGCCCATGGCAGATTAGGGGCCTGGCAGCAGCTATGGGAGGCCCGTAATCTGCCAGCACCCTATGTCAAAAAAATTGAACACACCAGCAGTGTGTGAGGAGACCTGAAAGTGGCACATGGCATGAGAGACTCTGGACCTGGCAGCAGCATGGGGAGGCGGTATAGGGGCCCATGGCAGATTAGGGGCCTGGCAGCAGCTATGGGAGGCCCGTAATCTGCCAGCACCCTATGTCAAAAAATTGAACACACCAGCAGTGTGAGGAGACCTGAAAGTGGCACATGGCATGAGAGACTCTGGACCTGGCAGCAGCATGAGGAGGCGGTATAGGGGCCCATGGCAGATTAGGGGCCTGGCAGCAGCTATGGGAGGCCCGTAATCTGCCAGCACCCTATGTCAAAAAATTGAACACACCAGCAGTGTGAGGAGACCTGAAAGTGGCACATGGCATGAGAGACTCTGGACCTGGCAGCAGCATGAGGAGGCGGTATAGGGGCCCATGGCAGATTAGGGGCCTGGCAGCAGCTATGGGAGGCCCGTAATCTGCCAGCACCCTATGTCAAAAAATTGAACACACCAGCAGTGTGTGAGGAGACCTGAAAGTGGCACATGGCATGAGAGACTCTGGACCTGGCAGCAGCATGAGGAGGCGGTATAGGGGCCCATGGCAGATTAGGGGCCTGGCAGCAGCTATGGGAGGCCCGTAATCTGCCAGCACCCTATGTCAAAAAATTGAACACACCAGCAGTGTGAGGAGACCTGAAAGTGGCACATGGCAGGGGCATGATTCATGGGGGATTTAGTCAGTTGTGTCAGGAACTGGTGGTTTTGAAATCCAGACTAATCCACGCCTGATTCATTTTCACAAACGTGAGTCTCTCCACACTTTGGGTGGACAGTAGTGTCCTCCGCGGAGTTACAATACCTCCTGCCGCACTAAACACGCGCTCCGATGCACACGATACTGGGCCGGTGCATGACAGCCTTTCAAGGGCAAATTCAGCTAGTTGGGGCCAAAGGTCAAGTTTCGTTGCCCAGTAGTCAAGGGGATTGTCTACCTCGGTTGGCAGGGTGCTGTCCAAGTAGGCCCAAGCCTGTTGTTTGAGCTCCTGCTCCAGGTCCACCTGATGCTGCTGCTGCTGCTGCGGCTGGTTAGTAGTTTCCTCACTGCGCTGGTGAAGAAAACTACTCATCATCGACTGCAGACTGAGGCAGCCGCTGCTGGTGGAGCTGCCACTGCTCCTACCACCCCACCCCTCCCCTGCTGCCATGGCAGCGGAATGCGAGCGCACAGGGCCCACAGTGTCTGAGGATGGACATTGGCGCAGAAAGGCAGAGACCAACTGACTACATAGGTGGTTTTTATAGTACGTAATTTTGGCCTCCCTCTCAGCAGGTGTGAAAAAGGCCACCATTTTGGAACGGTAGCGAGGGTCCAACAAGGTGGACAGCCAAAAGTCATCCCTCTGTCTGATGGTTATTATTCGGCTGTCGCTACGCAAGCAACCGAGCATGCTATGGGCCATTTGTGCCAAGGAATGCGAGGGACTCCTGCCTCCATCTCCACAGCATACTGCCACGGTGCGTCTGGGTCCTCTGTCTCCTCCTCCTCCTCCTCTACCAGATGCTCCTGCTCCTCCACTCCTGTCCGCTGAGTGGAAAAACCACCCATTTCACTCAATAATTCCTGAGCACAAATGTCCTCCTCTACCTCCTCCTCTTCTTCCTGTCCTGCCCCCACAGGGGTCATGTGGCGTTGAGATCTGTGCGCCACGTCTACCGCACCCTGACCAGCCATTGTTAACAGCATTTGTTCCAGGACGTGCAACAGAGGAATGACGTCGTTCATCCCATAGTCCTGCCGACTCACGAATAGCGTGGCCTCCTCAAAGGGCCTGAGCAAGCGGCAGGTGTCACGCATGAGCTGCCAATGGCTGACATCGAAGTTACACAGGGGAGTACCTTTATCTGCTTGTAACATCAGGAAATCGGTGATGGCCTTTCGCTGTTCGTAAAGGCGGTCTAACATGTGTAGGGTTGAATTCACCTTGTTGCAACGTCGCAGATCAGGCGATGCTGTGGAATTCCGTTCTGCCGCTGCAGCTCAAGGAGGGTGTGCTTTGCGCTGTAGGAATGGCTGAAATGCATGCAAAGTTTACGTGACATTTTAAGGATGTCTTGCAGTGGGATGGTGGATTTTAGGAACCGCTTGACAACCAGATTGAACACGTGAGCCATGCATGGCGCATGGCACAACCTTCCTTGACGCAGAGCAGACACCATGTTCTTTCCGTTGTCGGTCAACATGGTTCCGATTTTCAGTTTGCGCGGAGACAGCCATCTGTCGATTTCTCTGTTCATTACACTCAGAAGTTCCTCCCCTGTGTGACTACGTTCGCCAAGGCATACCAGGTGCAGCACAGCGTGGGACACCGTTGCGCCCTGCACATGTGATATGCCGGTCGGGGGTAATGGGACTTGGCACGGGGTGGTGGCGGCTGAGGACACGGCGGAAGAAGAGGTGGTAGAGGGCGGACATGTTTGCTGGACCAAGGACGTGCAAACGTGGAGGCAAAAGCGTCGTGACCTGTCCAAGTTGCTGGTGCGGCTGTGCCGGCACCACGTTCACCCAGTGGGCCGTAAATGACATGTACTGTCCCTGACCGTAGTTACAGCTCCACACGTCGGCGCTGCCGTGCACTTTGGCAGAGACCGACATGCTCAAAGACTGGCCCACCATCTCTTCTACATGTGAATGCAGGGCTGGCACTGCCTTTTTTGGCGAAGAAATGACGGCTTGGCACTCTCCACCGCGGCGCGGCACAAGCCATCATTTCTCGGAAAGGTGCTGAGTCCACCAGTTGGAAAGGGAGGGACTGCAGCACCAGCAACTTGGACAGGAGGACGTTCAGCTTTTGCACCGTCGGGTGCGTGCTCGCAAACTGTTGTCTCTTGGAAACGGATTCCAAGAAAGACTGCTGACGGAATCCGTGAAGAGGAGTAGCAGGAGAAGGAGCATCTGAACGAGCGGAAGATGCCAACGAGTGACAACTCCCCTCAGCAGAGGTGTTGGAGCCTTGACTGGCTGATAGAGGGCGATTGACGTCGGGTGACGGAGCAAGTAACGGAGCGGGTGATGGAGCGGGGGCTGGGTCAGGCAGAACTATCTTTATCACGGTTTTTCCCAGGCCACCAAATGGCGACGCTGCATATGCTGACGCAACGCTGTAGTCCCAACATGGGCCCCCTGGCCACGCTTGACTTTCTGGCCACATAGTCGACATACGGCTACGTTTACTTCCTCGGGCGGCTTGACGAAAAATTGCCACACCGCCGAGTAGGAAACTTTGCCCCCGCTACTCCTCACTGGGTCTGACTGCTACTTCCTCCGTGCACACTGGCACCACTACTGGCCGTGGTGGTAGGCTGCAGTGGAGCTGGTGCTCTACTCCGTGGCCGTTTGGCTCCACTGACACTGCTGCGACCCTGCTGCCTCCTGGGCAACCCACCGACTGTTTCGCTCGCTGCCAAGCTGGCACCCTCTTCTCCTGATGATGCGGAAGAAATTGCCTGATGACGACGAGGCTGCCAAGTGCGATCAACCTCCTCATCATCAAGTAGGGTCTCCGCCTCACTACTAGCCCCCTCGGCTGCGTGTGGGTCAGGAGACAGACCTGTCTCTAGACCGGCTACCGAGCCACTCTCCTCGCCAGCTTTCACTTCTTCGCCTGGCTGCTGAAGAGGCGGATGTCTCTCCCCCCGTTCCTGACCGCCCTCTGTTAGCTCTTCCTCACTGTACAGTGGGGCTGAGCCCACAGCATGCGATACTTCGCTTGGTGAGGGAACACCAAAGGACAGGGGCAGGTAGAGGACACGTGATTTCAGTGGGCTTGCTCCCGGGCCATGCCAACTAACGGTTGTGTCTGATGTACCCACCGACCGTTGGCTGTAGGTGTCAGAGGTGACCTGGGAAGAGGAAGACGACCGAGCCAAACCAATCGATGACGGCAGGGTTGTCGGTGGAGAACCGACCGCTGGATGACACCGGGAGCACTGGCCTCTGGCTGCGACTAGTGCTGCCTCGACCCCTTCCTCTGCTGCCACGTCTGCTCGCTCCTAAAACATTGCCTCCTCTGCCACTCCTCTGCATGTTGTCTGACATACTCTTTAATTCAACGATTCTGTGTCCCTGAGTAACAATTCTGTGTCCCTGAGTAACAATTCTGTGTCTGTCCCTGAGTAACAGTTCTGTGGCCCCTGAGTAACAATTCTGTGTCCCTCAGTAACAATTCTGTGTCCGAGTAACGTTTCTGTGGCCTAAGTAACGGTTCTGTGGCCCTCAGTAACAATTCTGTGTCCCTCAGTAACAATTCTGTGTCTGTCCCTGAGTAACAATTCTGTGGCCTAAGTAACGTTTCTGTGGCCCTAAGTAACGGTTCTGTGGCCCTCAGTAACAATTCTGTGTCCCTGAGTAACGTTTCTGTGGCCCTAAGTAACGGTTTGTGGCCCTCAGTAACAATTCTGTGGCCCTCAGTAACAATTCTGTGTCTTTCCCTGAGTAACAATTCTGTGGCCCTAAGTAACGTTTCTGTGGCCCTAAGTAACGGTTCTGTGGCCCTCAGTAACAATTCTGTGTCCCTGACTAACGTTTCTGTGGCCCTAAATAATGGTTCTGTGGCCCTCAGTAACAATTCTGTGGCCCTCAGTAACAATTCTGTGTCTGTCCCTGAGTAACAATTCTGTGGCCCTAAGTAACATTTCTGTGGCCCTCAGTAACAATTCTGTGTCCCTGAGTAACGTTTCTGTGGCCCTAAGTAACGGTTCTGTGACCCTCAGTAACAATTCTGTGGCCCTCAGTAACAATTCTGTGTCTGTCCTGAACAATAACAATTCTGTGGCCCTAACTAACGTTTCTGTGGCCCTAAGTAACGGTTCTGTGGCCCTCAGTAACAATTCTGTGTCCCCTGAGTAACGTTTCTGTGGCCCTGAGTAACAATTCTGTGTCTGTCCCTGAGTAACAATTCTGTGGCCCTGAGTAACAATTCTGTGTCCCTCAGTAGTAACAATTCTGTGTCCGAGTAACGTTTTTGTGGCCCTAAGTAACGGTTCTGTGGCCCTCAGTAACAATTCTGTGTCCCTCAGTAACAATTCTGTGTCTGTCCCTGAGTAACAATTCTGTGGCCCTAACTAACGTTTCTGTGGCCCTAAGTAACGGTCGGTTCTGTGGCCCTCAGTAACAATTCTGTGTCCCTGAGTAACGTTTCTGTGGCCCTAAGTAACCTGCTGTGGCCCTCAGTAACAATTCTGTGGCCCTCAGTAACAATTCTGTGTCCCTGAG